AGAAGACCTTACTGTTCATGACGTATATAGCTTATCGGTAGCGATGGGAAGGAGTGTAGCAAAATAAAACACTGCCATACAATATTTGCCCATGCTTATGATCACGCACTCATGGAGCTGCGCCCTTCTTGAGAAGTAGCCAACTGTGCAGCTACTCAAGATCTTATCAGCATTTTATGGAACCCAAAGGTTCATTACCGTGTTCACAAGAGCCCTCCACTGGTCCCCATCCTGTCTGATCAATACAGGGCCACATTACTCCATCCTATCTCTCTAAGATCTATTTTAACATTATCCAGCCATCTACATCTTGGTCTTCCTAGTGGCCTCTTTCATTCTGACTTTCCCACCAATATCCTACATGTAGTCCTCTTCGTCCCATTCGTGCTACATACCCATCCCACCTCATTCTCCTTGACTTGATCATTCTAATTATACTTGGAGAAGTGTACAAGTTATAAAGTTCCTCATTTTCCCATGCTTAGTATATTGAATTTAATTAAAATTCTTTGGGTAATACCGGGTATGAAACATTTGGATGGACAGACAGAATGGCGGACATAGGCAGATCTCCCTACTCTGCCTTCACTTCACGTCCAAACTGTGTATACAATCAGGAAAGGTTATACCTGCAAAGCGCATACTTCGATACGGAGTCTACAATTTTCACTCGTGCTTTAGCGCAGAATGCTGCAATCCGGATGTAATATAGACCAGTTTAAAAGCAGTTGAGTATTCCTAACTTCTGGAGCGATAAATGTATGAGAAGTGGTAAGTATCCGAATTGCTACTGGAGGCTGGATATTGCCACCTCGGTGTGACGCTAAGTTAGAGGTTTTTAAGCACACATACCTCCAACTTTAATACCAACCATCGCAGTCGTGAGTCGACTGGGTACAAAATGAAGAAATTCCCTCTCCCGTTTCACAGAGAGGAACGTTTCATTTAAGACCTTCACGAAGTGGCTGAAACACGACGTAGAACATACTGCAGAGTGCGCTAACACATCGTTAGATGCCTGGAACGGCGTTCCCAAACTTTATCACTCCACACTCTCCACTGAAACACCAAAAATAAACGAACCCCTCTCTAAGGTTGTATTTTTTACTTAGGCCTACGTATAGCACCGAGCAAACTCACTCAACCGGTGGCGTGTATCACGCGTATTCAAGAGATATCTGGTTCGAATCTAGGTCGGGGCACCGACTGTTCTGAGTGGTCTTACTCAGTCCCTCCAGGTGGGATAATACATTACGTTAGGCAACAACCACTTTATTCTTATTCCTTCCAATACATTATTCACATACCACTCTATTATCCCACGCTATATGGCCAGAACTAGTGACAAAGGGACTAAATGAACCATAATAAATAAATAAATTAATACGTATATACCCATTTATGTGCTCTGCTTCTGCTCCCAGCACCCACATGACTTTCCCACGTCCACGCAGCTTAAAATTTAATGGTATTTCACCAAATAATATTTTTTTAAAGCTAAGGAATGGTATTACATATGTTCCAATGAACCTGGAGACGGCAACAATACTGACATATTAATGACAATATGCAGAACGACTACCACAAATCCAGTTGAAATTTTAAAGGCAATTTGTTGAAGGTATAAACATCCTGCCTGGTCATACATCTTACACATCATAGCACTTGAAGGACACTTCGAACTCAAGATGTCACGCTGTGAAAAGTTATGGAAAGACTAAACACGATGTAATAAAAGTACTAAGCGATGTTATCTAGAAGTAAGGTTGTCCCTTTGCTTAATTAATTAAGCATCATTCCGTGAATACGTATGGTGGAATGGAGGTATAGCTCACCTATCTTGACATGAAGGTGAGTCGTCGGCTTCACACTCCGCCCGCTGTACCCCTGGGGAAAGAACCCCTGGTACCCATTTGATAGGAAACTGGGTAGGCCTCAGAGTCGGTTTGGAAGCTGTGGAGGATAAAATCTTTTGCCCTTCCTGGGAATCAAAGCCCGGTCGTCCAGTCCGTCGCTATACTGTCTGAAGTATGCTGCCACCAAAAGAAAATCTTAAGGCAAAGGTGGACATTACAATAACAATTCAGTGTAGCTCCCAAGGCCGTTTAGCGTTACCACCGCCTGCTTCCTTCGTTGCTGACTTGAAACGCAAGCGTTTTATATACGGTTGGAACTGGTTAGCCTGTGAATATAATTTTGTTCCAGTGGTCAGAACATGAAATCATGCAGCGCTATTAAACAAGGAAGGAGGCGGGATAACTGGAGGTAGAGCCTCGGTAGGGTAAAGAACTTCCTCTTCTGTACGTAGTCCATACCGGGTCTGGAGTCCACCTATCCTGCTATCCAATGGGTACCGGGGTAAAGCGGTAGAGGCGTGAAGCTGACCAGTCACCTCCAAGCACTGCCGAGTTAAAAAAAAATATGGATCTATACATTCACTCCCCCATACGGCTTCATGTTGTAGTGCTTAATTAGTTAAGCACAGTGACAACTTTACCTTTTTCATGATACAAGAAACCTCATTAAGGTTTAATAATCTTAGACAAGGCTTGACGTTGATATTGTGCAGACTGCCTGATTCTTTGGCTTCTTAGCGACATGTTATCAAATATAAATGTTTAATAGCGTCGAAGAGTAAGTTCATTAGAGATGGTAAACTGAAAGGCGTCACGAGTAAAGGATCCATTGCTATAATTACTGCATTATTCCATCATTTGACTGGAGTGCCTAGCGAANTAAGGGATATTACTGTCCTAGTGGCGGTATATTTACTTAGGGAACGAGCAGGACTATTCGTATTATCGGTGTGCCTTCTTTTCGCACATCAAAGCGCTCCTTCATCTCGTTTTCTTTTCATTCAGTTCTGTGCAACAGGGACGCATCTTGCCTGGCTGAATAAACCGGTAATTGAGGAATTAATAATTGAGGGCAGAAGAAGGACGAGTTGGTGTGTAAATATTTAATGGTTCCACATCACTCACGTTCCGAACCATAGAGGTCTCTAGCCACCAAGATCACCGCAGGGATGCCAATCACTTAGGCCAAAACTTCCCTCTTCACTTACATTTATGTCTTGTATTAAAATTTGCAATTGGGACAAGCTATATATCTACAAGATCCATTCTACATTAGAGGCTCATCTTTACGCGTCTTCGGGGTTGCTGCTGCCATATAAACGGGTTTCATTCACGTCTATTACCGAACATACTTTACAAAATATAAAAAGACATACAAATCACAAATGCAAACATTTAAGTTACTAAGTGCTTTTAAAGGTCTTGCAACGCGGTCTCTCATACTTGATGAAAGGACAAAAAGCTAAGTATTTGAATATAAAGCTTTAAAACATTTAGATGTAAGAAGGATGGAGTAAGTGGAGAAGATATATCACAAGGGCCCCAGTGGTTTATGTCTCTTATCATTGTTAGGTGGTCTAGTGGTCAGAGTTCCTGGCTACAGATCCAGAGGTCCGGGTTCAATTTCCGGCGCTACCAGATTTTTTCTGAGAAGCAGTGGGTCTGGAACGGGGTCCACTCAGCCTCGTGATGATAATTGTGGAGCTGCTTCAAGGAAAAAGCGGCTCCGGTCTAGAAAACCGAAATTATCGGCCACGGGGATTCGTTGCGCTGACCACGCGACACCCTCTATCCGCTATAGTTGGCACTAACTTCACCGACAAGCGGCGGTGCCTCGGTCGGTATAGTTCGCTTGCGGACTAAAGCCACGGAGATTGATTGTTAGCGTGAAGCCCGCTAAAGTTTCAAAGGGAAAATGTTAAAAACTGAACTAAACGGCGTGAAATCCCACAATTCATTCACCTCTAAATACTCTGACGTTTCACTCGTTTCAGTTTCAGGAACCTTATTAGTTTGTCTCTCACATGCCTACCCTATCAATATATCGCATAGGAATGGTACGAAAAGTACCCTTTTAGCAATAAATGTAGACCATGCATCAGAATGTCTCTCCACCCCTGTCGTCGAAGGACCAATGCTGTAACTTGACACCAGGAAACATAGCACCTCTTTAAATTTTCTAATTTATCTCCAGTACTTTCCATCTTCTTGCAACAAGCACAGGTATAGTCGCTTTATGTTCTCTTTCATGCTCTAACTCAAGTGCTGCAACATTTTCTTTTCATTTCCTCCTGAAGCTAAGAGCGTATACACAAAACAATGAGGAGCCCATCAAGGTGTGCGCCTGAAAGATGTACAGATACACATTTCAGCATCCTCTTTGGAGGCAGGAATACCGCGTCACTGGTTCTAGCCCTAAGCAGACGGACACGGTTTCAAATTCTGGGGTGATTCAAAAGGAATTCCTGAGTGTTAATGGTTTTGTTTCAGTAAACTATGGCGATATTAAAAAAACAGAAACTTCAGAAATTAATTTCAGAAAAGCTGTGGCTGGCTATAGGTACACTGAAACACTAAATTGTAAATACAAGAATTATAAAGGTTTAAACGTATTTAATTTAAACAATTCCATTACGAATAACAGGAACAGCTGGAGATGACACATGGAAAGAAAGGTAATACGTCTGTATTCGTATGATTAGGAGGTAAATTTCAGAAAATCTTGTAGCGCCTGGAATCAAACCCGGGATCTCTGGATCTGTAGTCAGAAACTCTGACCACTGGGAGGTTCTGTGAGCTTAACTGCACAGAACTGATACCACTTTATCATGCCTTTCTGGGGTTAGCTGGATCATGGGAGAAGCTAGACCGCATATTTCTAGAATGCTAAAGGGTACTGTACTCTTGTTCTCACCGGAACGAATCCTCGGGTCTAACGCAGTACGTCCCATAATAGTTTCTTTCTTAATTTATATAATACATAGGTTACATAAGGTACAAATCAAAAGAGCTTGCAAGACCATTCACGCAGGCCAACTGCACGCAGTGAAAATGGCCCTAGGGCGGGGAATTGCTTCATATGCTGGTAATAATGCCATAAATTCCCATAAAACTGTTAGTAACGACAACATAAATTCTGCTTACCTTTGGATGGGCTCTCCTAGGGAAGGCAACTTTGGGGTCAATCTGAAAACAAGAAAACGGAGACAATAGAATAATTCACGTCTAATTATAAGAAGTATTAACTTAAGAGGTATCTTTAAGTATTTCGTTAACTGCTGTATACTGTGTTGCCACGTACGGTGTCCAGTGTACAGCAGCGGCTGTGTTCCGGGATATTTTACCAACTTACTAAGAACACATGCACATAGAACTTTCTAGATAACTGATGTAAATAAGCGTTAAGTTCGATATTCCGAACATAAGATCACGCGCGTTATTTAAACAAACATTGGTAGCGTAGTTGGTTGAGGCAATATGCTACAAGCCGGAAGGCCGCGGGATCGAATCCCGATGAGGTCATTGTATTTTTTTTTTCAATTTACCTAATCCTTCCAGCGGCACTATGGCCGTGGGGTCGACTCAGCCTCTAGCAGAAATGAGTACCAGGAATATTCTTGGAATATTCTTGGGGTTAAAGGGCGGCTGGCGCGTAGGGCTGACAACCTTACAGCCATCTATGAGTCGATTGTCTAGAAAATGTGGGAACCTCAACATCTCACAAACCTATGGGACTACACGGCCTGTTACAGGGATATCCTTACTTACTTTTTTACTTTACTCTATAAGCTTTTCTAAACAGACGATCAGAGATCAGATATTCTAAACAGATTTTTACCCTGTGATTTAAACTGGGGATCACGTGGCTGATATCTTAAACAAGGGGCTGTTGATCTGTGATCTTACAGATGGTCTGTGGTCTGCTATTCTGATCAGGAGATGACTAGTTTATGAATTCAACAGACCATAAATCTCCTAATCTATACAGAATGCTACAGATCCTCGACTTAAAGAGAGACAATCACAATTTGGTATTTTAAACGCAAGACTGTTGATTCTTATTGAAAGGAGAGATCAGAGTTCTCCTATTATAAAAAGATAGGTTGTAGGTCTAAAAACAAATGATCACAGTCTGGTATTGTAGACAGAAGATTATTGTTTAATGCGTTATTCTAGCCAGACGGTTGCGGACCTGTAATATTGTAACGGATTTGAGCAAAGTGTTTCTAGGCAACGGCTCGGTAAACACGTTCCAACGTGCAACAGTGAAGATGTATATCAGTGGACGAATGTTGTAGCTCGTTGCTAGGCAACAATCAGCACGACAATGAACTCACTGGCTAGGAATCACGTGACTTGTTTTCTGTGTTGTCCGTGCGGAGCCTATATAACGAAGACCTTTTGTAGTTTATATTAGTGCAAAGTGCAAAGTGCAGTGTAGACAACAGTAAAAAAATTTTAGTAGGTTCCGAGGTTCCAGGGTGATTGAACAAGAAATGGCAAGAAGATTTCATAGTGATCTGAAGTGCTAGTTTCTGTGTTGAGATCCGTTGCTAGGAGACGACTAATGAAAACTGAGAATCCTAGTGCGTGTGCAACAGTGAACTGCAAACTGTGTAAATCAGCGATAGTGCTGTATTAAGTGTGATTAAGAGAACTTGTAATCGAAGTGGTAATAAAATCCAATCATCCGATCTAGTACCCGTTATTTTGGTAAAGCTGCACCTCCTACACGTGACAATATAAACGGACGATCACCAGCCAGCTCTCACCAGGAGATTGTGAATTAAACAGATGGTCATATGCCTGATATTTTAAACAGGCGATGGTAGAATTGTTATTTAAACAGCGATTATGGATTAGTCACTCTAAACAGAATAACGGAGATGCGCGATCTAAACATAATAAAATAGTACACAATTTTGAAATTAGAACCTCTGATTTAAGGAGACGATGATAAGCCAGCTATTCTGCACAGGATATTGTGGCTCTCCTATTTAAATAGAAGGTTGTAGGTTCCACTGCTATAGCCCTCCTCATTGTTGGTTAATGGCTCAACAGTTTAAAGTTAGTTGAAGCATAACTATTACTGCCAACTGCAAAAATATTATACAAAGGTAAAAGGTTAAATTTTCCCTATTCGCTTAGTGGGGGGTTGAGTCCAACTGGGCCCACTCGGCACGGCGGCCACTGATTCGTCTATTGTAGCCTGCCCCGGGTGATTATGATGATGATGATGATGGAGAATTTGGTGGAATGAAGACTAGCAGGGGAAACCGACGTACTAGGAGAAAACCCGCACCAGCGCCACTTTGTCCACCACAAATCCCACTTGACCAGACGCCGTGATCGAACTCGGGCCGCCACGGTAGGAAGCCAGCAACTAACCGCTTGAGCTATGGCGCGGCCAAGTTGTCCCTATGCTTAACTAATTAAGCACTATGACATGAAAGCGTTTGGGTGAGTGGATGTATAGATCCACTTTTCTTGACTTCTGTCCTAGCTCGAGGAGTGTTCAGCTTCATGCCCCGGCCGTTTTACCACCGAGGAGAGAGCCACCGGTGCCCATTGGATAGGAGTCTGTGTGAGCCCCAGAGCCAGCCTGGACGACGTGAAGAATAGAGAATTCTTCAAACTACTGGGACTCGAACTCCGACCTCTCGCTCGTCTAGTCGTAGCGAGATACTATACCGACTGAGATATACCGGCTCATTATACAAACTAAAACAAAAATTTAATACCATACTTAAATAACGATAACCTCAAATTTGGTTCCTCCAGACTACATCTGTCAGAAGTAATTCGATTTTTAAGCAAAGGACACTATGGACGTTAAGGGTGAACATTTAAACCCACGTTTAATTTATTTCATTCCTGGTTTTATAAATTGAATTTTATCTACTGTATGCCGTATAGTTTGCCGGATATGATAATTATAAAATGGACACAGCATTATTTCTTATTCTTTCATAATCATCCGGCACAAAAACCGTGTTACACACTTCTACATACAGTACGTTCAATACAATTCAATTCCTTTTACACGAACGTAAAAAGATCGCATCCGGTGCTGTAGAAATGGGTCAGGCTTGCGTATGACGAGCGTACTACAGCCAACAAGGAACAAACTCCTTGGTAACAGAGACCGAAAACTCAACACCATTAACACCAGAGTCTGTCGCCGGAAGCGAACTAGAAGCGGCTACACACTTCCCAACCTCACAATTTAGTTCCATTAAATCCGTCTCAGTAGTAACTTTTAATATGCCTCTCTGTCTACTGGACCTCGTACTCCAATGGGTAACTGCTTTTTCGCATTCGGAGACTCGAAGACCATCTATCATGAATATGGTTTGTTACGATTTTTCTCATTATTTCGAGGCAAATGCTGACAGAGTACCTAAAATTAGTACACGCTTACTTCCTTCTGCAACCTTGTAATTAATTATTCACAAATCATAGCACTGACACTCTACAGTCTGACTCAACTACTGACAAATCAAAGCACTGACATTCTACAGTCTGAACTACTGATAAACCATAGCACTGACATTCTACAGTCTAAACTACTGATAACTCATAGCAATGACACTCTACAGTCTGACTGAACTATTGAAAAATAATGCCACTGACACTCTACAATCTGAACTACTGACAAACCATAGCACTGACACTCTACAGTCTGACTGAACTACTGACAAACCATAGCACTGACATTCTACAGTCTAAACTACTGATAAATAACAGCAATGACACTCTACAGTCTGAACTACTGACAAATCATAGCACTGACATTCTACATTCTTAACTACTGACAATCATAGCACTGACACTATTGAGTCTCAACTACTGACAAACCATAGCACTGACACTCTACAGTCTCAACTACTAACAAACCATAGCACTGACACTCTACAGTCTAACAGACCATAGCACTGACATTCTACAGTCTCAACTACTAACAGACCATAGCACTGACACTCTACAGTCTCAGCTACTAACAAACCATAGCACTGATACTATACAGTCTCAACTACTGACAAATCATAGCACTGACACTCTACAGTCTCAACTACTAACAAACCACAGCACCGACACTCTACAGTCTCAACTACTAACAAACCACAGCACCGACACTCTACAGTCTCAACTACTGACAAATCATAGCACTGACACTCTACACTCTCAACTACTAACAAACCATAGCACCGACACTCTACAGCCTCAACTACTGACAAATCATAGCACTGACACTCTACAGTCTCAACTACTGACATTGTTATTAAATAAATATGAGTTTTCCGATATGTCGCATTCAGCAAAGAAAGGACGTGCTTCGCACTTCTTGTTTACTTCATCCAAGACACAAGCACAGCTCCTGGAGTCGCTGCTACAGCACGAAGTTCCTCGGTACGCAGGATCCTGAATTTCCTATTTCTTTATTGAGCAGTTTGTTGCCAAACACTTATGATACTCGCATATTAAATTTACACATATTTTCGATGTCTTCGTTTTCTCATTTTTAAAGAGTAGTAGGTTGAGGCACTATGCTACAAACTGGAAGGTCACGGGTACGAATCCCGATGTGCTCGTTGCATTCTTCAATTGATTTAATCGTTCAAACCGCACTATGGCCCTCAGGTCGACTTAACCATTAACAACAATTCTAATAATAACTTGCCGTAAGGAGATAAGTTACAATGCTCTATAAATTATTATAATGAACTAGCAATATTCTAAGGTTATGTTATTTTCTAATAAAATAAATATCCGAATCAAAAGCTGTATATTTACCAACTACCCATCACCTAGAACTCTGACATCTATATGAATGACGATGCGTCACACTAACAGCAGTAATAACAACAGGTTAATGAACAGAGAGATTGGATGTTTCCCAGGGGCATGAACGTCACACGGAAATTTATACAGATCTACATACCTATTAGCATAATGAAATAAATGAATCAGGGGCCAGGCATATAAAATATAAAATATCTTACATGGAGGATGGCAATTTACTGCTACTCGCATACCTGATGGGCTTATTATGCAGTGATTAGGATCGAAAATCCTGTAAAATGAATTATAAAATTTTAAAATTATGAAGAGCTTTGACTTATTCCAACACAGTGAAACATTTTTTGTAAGCTTATCAAAATTCATTAAAGTAACACTATTAACCA